CTCTTGGTTCTAAGCCACAGTCGGTAGAAATACTGCCAGTGAGAACAGTTGAAAGCTCAGGTCATCAGAAATGCACTTTACCTCCTAGCCTTATATTAATCTCACTTCCAATATTCCTTTGAAATAAAAAACAAGAGTGTCCAGGGTTGGTGGATGCATCTATCATACTGTCTGAAGATGCTAACAAGGAAAACAATTGCTGGGCTCCAGAGATGGCTCAGTGGGTAAAAGTGCCTGTCATGGGTGCCTGAGAACCCAAGTTCAAGTCCTTTGAACCCACAAAAAACAAAAAACAAAAACAAAAAAAAAAAAAAACTGCACTCAGCATTAGTAATCATCTGTAGCTCTAGTACTCCTATGGGGGATGGTAGGCAGAGGTATGGGAGTTCCCAGCCTGGTGTACCCAGCAAAAACAAAAAACAACAAATGAAAAACTAAAAACAGAGACCCACATTGTCTCAAACATTGTGGAAGGCAAAAACTGAGGCCCGAGATTGTCCTTTGACCTCTATGTACATGTCTCTGCATCCACATGATCAAATATGCACACCATCCATACATTGTACACACAGAGAGAGAGAGAGAGAGAGAGAGAGAGAGAGAGAGAGAGAGAGAGAGAGAGAGAGAAATTGCCAAAGGCTAGCAGCTAGGTAGAGCAAAGGACAGAAGGGTATAAAGGAAAATAACAAACCAAAAAACTCTCTCCCCTGAGCTCTTACTCCGACACCACACATTCACTACTCCCCCATACTAAGCAATCTCCAGCAGATACCAATTCAGTCTAGTTCTGATGCCATCTACCTGGGTTAGCATCAGAATCTTCAGGTGAAGGACTCAGACCCACAATTGTCCCCGATGGAGTCCAGACTCCTATACTGTTGGCTCTGAACTCAGGCCCCACCTTGAGTTTGATCTGGAGCTTCTCACTAATTCAGGGAAACAATTTGTATTTTTCAGCTTGTCATAAAGGGCAGTATAAAAGATAACATCTGCATTCAGATATACACAGGGCAAGCTGTTTGAGAAGAGGCCGGAAGCCTCCATGTCCTGTGTGGAGTCACATCCTCCAGGCATATGTGGAAGTGGAAGCCACCTGAAGCTTCCTGAGCCATCCTCACCCACATGTTTCAGAGATTTCTACAGTGGCGTCCTTAGATATGCATTGGCCATGCTAGTTTCTGGTTCCTCCCACCTTCCTAAAGGATGGGAGAGATGGCTCCTAGAGGTTCCTGTCCATCCATGATGGGGAGCTGTGGTGGAAGGTGAGACAGTTGGCCACATTACATCACATCCAGTCAAGAGCTAAGTAAAGAATGTGTGTCTGCCTGCTAGTGCTCAACAGAGTTCTCCTTTACATTTTGTCCAGGGCCCAGTCCATAGAATGGTGCCATTTATATTCAGGGTTTGTTTTCCCAATTTAATGGCTATAATCAAGATAATTTCCCACAAACCTTCTCAAAGGCCCTCCTCCAAGGTCATCCTAGACTATGTCAAGTTGACAGTTAAAACTAGCCACCATACTGGCCAAAGTCCATCTAATAGAATCAAAGATTCTTCTTGACACCTCTATAGTTCAAGAACATACAAAGGTCTTTAGAAGTGTTACATGGATGGAGACCTAAGTCAACATGTATTGGTTATAACTCACAGTGCTGTGAAAGTCAGGAAATAAGTTGTAATCAATTAAGTAGGTACTATACAAAGAGTGGGTGTTTAAAAATATTTATGTGTGTGAGTGCTTTGCTTGCATGTATGTTTGTATGATGTGCATGCAGTGCCCATAGAGGCCAGAAGAGGATGGCAGGTGCCCTGGAACTGGAATTACAGATGGTTATGAGCTACTATGTGGATGCTGGGAATCTTGCAGTTCTTCTGCAAGAGCAGTCAGTGCTCTTAACTGCTGAGCCATCTCTCCATACAGCTATTCCTATAAAGAGCAAATGTTTTAAGTGAAAACTTAGATGGGCAACTTAATGAATCTGTATTTTAACATTATTTGATTCCACAAAAAGTTGGAAACGTGAGCTTCTAAGTAACAACAACCAAAGAATGTGTTGTACATATTCATAGACTAGTCTGTGCTTCTGCATTAGTTAACATTAGCTAAGTTACTTCCAGGGCCAATCTGGTGACTTTTCGCAATAAAAGTGCATTGCTACTTCACAGTGCGGGTCCAGGATGTGTAGGCAGGAGGTCTCTTCTCGCCACACTTGAGACCTTTGCAAATCACGTTCTTCACCTCCAGATCCTTCTGCTGTCCCCCTACATTCTGGCTACTAGGCTTCACATGTGCACAAATGTTATTTTCACTGGCAGAACACTGGTGTAGCCAAGTTCTAGAACGTACTGTGTGCCCAGAAGATCCAAATATTTGGTGACAGCTCCGGTCGATATGATAATTTCTTGTAAGATTAATCCACTAGGGTAGGCCTGGCATAATGACACATTTCTTTATTCTCAGTGCTCAGGAAGCCGAGGCATTCAGGATTGTCATATGCATTGTGTACATAACAAGTTCCACGCTAGCCTATCTCAATAAAACCAAAATAATGAAAAGAAAATAGAATAATGCCACTAGAGACTGAGTGGAAATTGCCTGTTTTGGAAGGTGCCATTCTTAGAGGCCAATAATTTGGTATTTAAAGCTTGTCTTGAGAGAATAACATGCAATATAATTTGAAATAAAGGTATAGTAGCCTTGAGAGCATTATAGCAAAAACATGGGTGGGTGGGGTGAATTTGTAAAATGATGACTTTGATAAAGTTTTATGCACAGGCAAATGTATTCATTAGATCCTGTGTAGTGATCTGCTTTTCCTTTGTATTGTAGTCCTAAAATTTTTTTTAAAAATAAAGTCCATCCTTTCAAAAAAAAAAAACCCAAAATAATGAATAAATTAATAAGTAAGTAAATGAATAGTTCTCACTAGGGAACCATGCAACTGAGTTAAAAAAAATCATGAAAGAAATCTCATAATATTTTAAGTAGATAAACACCCAGTGTCCAAAGGCTGGACATGCCCATTTGAGTGACATCATGGTGTCAGGTGTTTTGTCTCTCCAACACCAAGATTCTGAGTTGAATTCTTTAAACATATTAGCAACATTATGCTTCAGAAAGTCAGAGTTCTACCAATATCAAGCCATGACATTCTGGGTTTAAAATAAAATAGGAATTTGAGAGGGGAAAAATGAAATCTAATTGCCAGAAAAAGAATCCAATATATTTCTTTGGAGTTATGTAGGCTTATCATCATTAAAAAAAAAAGATTGGTATGAAAAGGTGTTAAGTTATAGAACGGGAAAGTCTCCTGGGCCCGATGATCATAAATCACATGTTGTCTTTTTACAGTGTCTGTTAGTTGACTTTCATAAATGTTTGTGAAGGTTTGAAAATGGGCCGTGCTAATTGCTTTTTAAAATTCACAGAAATGCTAAGAAGCATAAATCAAGGCAGCTAAGATAAATGTTTGCCTCTGTCAGTACAGAGAGGGGGGTCATTTGTGTGACAGCTCTGGGAAAATAGTGAGAAATGAATGGTGTACTCACTTTAAATGAAATTCTTTGTGTTTACAAATGCATGAACATTTCCCTGTGCTGGCCTGCCATAGTTGCCGTCACTCCATAACCGCTGACTTATTGATGTGTCATATGTTGGCTTTGTCCTTTGAATATGAAGTGCCCCCTGGAGACTAATGTGGTTGGGCAGTTGGTTCCAGGCTGGTGGTGGTGTTGGAGAAGGTTGTGGAGGTGGGGCCTTGTTGGAGGAAGTGCCTGACTGAGAACAAGGCTTAGTAGCTGGTACCCACTTCCTGTTTGCTCTCTGCTTCCTGAAGGAAGCTACAGTGAGATCAGCAGCTGTCTTCTGGTGTGCAGCCTCCTTCTCCTGCTGCTCTGGTTCCCCACCATGATGCAGTGTGTCCCTTTAAACCGTAAGCCAGGACACACTCTTCTTCCTTTAAATTGCTTCTTTTTAGGTCAAAGATGTGGAACAAGTAATGAATATAGCCCTACACCGTCTTTAGGGATGTTGTGTAAACTTGATCTGGTTGACATATCTGTCCTAGAATGACTAGTAGTTTTTCAATTAGAAAATAAAACAATGACTTGATTTTTTCAATGTGAGCTTCCAAGATACAAAAAGCCACACTTTTTTTTTTAATTTTTAAATTTATTCTTCTCTCATATATTTTATCCCTATGGTAGTTTCCCCTTGTCCACTCCCCGTCCCTCCCTCCCATTTCCCTGCCCCATCCACTCCTCCTCTGTTTCCCTTCAGAAAAGGGCAGGTCTCCCAGAGATATCAAACAAACATGTCATATCAAGTTTCAGTAAGACTAGGGGACTCTCCTTGTATTAAGACTGGATGAAGCAACCCAGTAGGAGGAAAAGGGTCCCCAAAGCAGGCAAAAGAGTCAGAGACAGTCTCTGGTCCCACTATTAGGAGTCTCACAAGAAGACCAGGCTATACAACCATAATATATGTGCAGAGATCCAAGGTCAGACCCGTGAAGGCTCCCAGATTGCTGGCTCAGTCTCTGTGAGCCCCTATGAGCTCCGGTGAGTTGATTCTGTGGATCGTTGTCTTGTAGTGTCCTTGACTCCTTGGCTCCTCTAATCATTCCTCCCTCTCTTCTACCTCATGTTTGGCTCTAGGCATCTGCACCTGTTACTGT